AGTATGTGAACGATGACTGAAACAGTAATACGAGCAATTGGTAGAGTAAGTAAACTGCCTCTATTCTTATCGTTATTATAGTCTTGTAGTTAGGTGTGGATGTCTCATTTAGTGGCGATAGGAGAAGCAGCAGGAAGTTGGAGGAGGAGGAGGAGGAGGAGGAGGAGGAGGAGGAGGAGAAGAAGAAGAAGGAGGAGGAGGAGGAGGAGGAGGAGGAGGAGGAGGAGGAGGAGGAGGAGGAGAAGGAGAAACACAGTCATAACATCACTATCAAGAACAATAATACTAACAATAGAATTGATTTGAGTAAAATAATGAAATAATATTAAAATAATAAATGCAGTAATATTATTATAAATCAATCAAAATTTTAAAAGGACACCACTTGGAATCCGGTGATTTTTATGGGATCAGATACCTTTTATGAATACGTTAAAGTAGATACTTCAATCCATACAATTTGAGGTTATATATTCAGATCTCCATCCTTTTTTTTTCCAAGAGGAAAGCAGATGTCTATTCTCATTTTGTGTTTGATCATTCTATTAAGTTACATCTATAAGACCAATCTCCTCGTGGTCTAAGGAGTGGAAATATGATGTATAAACTCAACTATTGCATTTTCCCCCCTTTTTGTAGACGGTCACATCCTTTTACCGACATCCTCTTGTGTAAGGAGTGGAAAGAAAGATGTAGAGACCCATGTTTTAAATCACTTTCAACTTGTAAAGTGGCTTGTTTGGGGTTGTTTTTTTTCCAACATCATTTCCTCCATGCTTGAATGAAATTGATTGAGATATATTCATATATTTCATTCAGATAGGGAGATAGAGGGAGGGGGGAATGTAAAATTATATTGCATTTATATACTAAAGGTAATAGTTAAAAATAATAGCCATGATAACGATGATAGTAATAATGATAGCCATAACGACGGTGGTAATAATAAAAACAACATTAATAACAGTAGCAATAATAAAAACAACGATGAATAGCAATAATACTACTACTACCAATAATAATAATAATAATAATAATAATAATAATAATAATAATAATAATAATAATAATAATAATAATAATGACATCAACAACGACAACAACAATAACAACAGCAACAACAATAACAACAACAACAATAATGATAAAAATAATGATAATAATAATAATAATAATAATAATAATAATAATAATAATAATAATAATAATAATAATACAGTATAAGTAAACAAATAAGTATGAACAACAACCTTTTTTGGAGCATACCCATATTCTAAATCCCCATTCCACTTTTACCCCCCCCCCCCCCCCCCCCCCATTTCCCCGCCCCAGATAATAATGATATTAATAATAACAATAATTACAACATGTGAGCGCCAAGGGGTGGATGTTAACAGAAAAGTCCAAACGGGGAATCAGGCTTACTGTGTTCCGGCACAGTATGAGCATGACATTGATAAATCAGCCTATTTACAATTCTACTGTGCGTAGGAACGTTTTAATATCGCCTCTTTGGGAATGACCAAAAAATCTAGGATAATAATAATAATAATAATAAAAATAATATTAATGACAACAACAATAATAATAATAATAAATAACCCTGTTCACCTTGTTAAAGCATATATTAATTTGGATAATGTTAGAGGCAAGAGATTGCCTGTAGATTTATATAGGATATTTTTTAAATGTATTTCTTCTATTGAATTTTTAATAAGAATTTTCGTTTTGATTGCTTCTCTTTGGGTACAGAATGTTTGTAGTGTCAAAATGAACGCCTTCCTTTTTAAATTGATCTTTCAACGCATTTGTGGTATTGTATGAACAGTTCACATTCCAAAAGTACGTGATCAATTGATAGTGTTTTTTGGCACTGGTGGTATATTTGATTTCTTTCGATGAAGAAATATGGTGAGTATAATCTGAGTCGTGTAATCAAGTTTTGGCCTTCTCCATACGGTACTATAGTTTTTATGTTTGGTACTATCTTTTTA